TCATATGACCTTAAAGCCCCTTCCAACTCCCTTAGACCCCCCCAAACCTCCCTCCCAGTCTTCTCGAGCACCCCTAACACATCTTCTCCCCCTTCACATTCTCTCTTTCTCTGGATAAAATATTACTTTAAAACATTAATGTGGGGGGCTGGAGAGATGGCTCAGTGGTTAAGAGCATTGCCTGCTCTTCCAAAGGTCCTGAGTTCAATTCCCAGCAACCACATGGTGGCTCACAACCATCTGTAATGAGATCTGGTGCCCTCTTCTGGCCTGCAGATATACACACAGACAGAATATTGTATACATAATAAATAAATAAATATTTAAAAAATATTAATGTGTTAAGAGGAAATTATTTTTTTAGATTGGTTTATTTTATGTGTGTGAGTGAGATCTTTGCCTGAATGTCTGTATATGTAGCATGTGCACAACTGGTGCCCACAGAGATCCAGAAGAGGGCATCAGATTCCCTAGAACTGGAGTTACAGATGGTTGTGAGCCACCATGTAAGAGCTGAGACCTGAACCCGGGTCCTCCGCAAGAAGAACAAATGCTCTAACCAGTGGGTCATTTTCCTAGCTCTCAACACGTTTATTTGGGGGGGGGGATGGCAGAGTCTTCAGCAGCCAAGATAGCCCCCACTCATTATGTAGCCGAGAATGATCCTGAATGCTGGGATTCCAGGTGTGGAATCTCACTAGATCTAGTCAATGCATTGCCAAGGATCAGACTTGTGTATATGAGACAAGTTATTCTGCCCGCCCTTCCATTTTCTTTTCAAATTACATTTAAAAAGAGAAAAATAAGCCCCTGTTCTAGAATGTTCTCTCTCCCTCTAGACTCAGTCACTGACTCCACCCACAGGTTGCCCTAGCCACAAGAACCAGTCCAAGCCAGGTTCACATCCTTTTCCACTAAAATGCACCCGGAGCTTCCTCTTTTCTGGGGTTCACTCTCTCCCCTGGGCTCAGACACAGCTCTGCTGCTTCAGCCTCTGGAGTGCTGGGATTGTAGGTGTGTTCACCGCGCTTGGCTTATGCTTGTTTTTCTGGGTGCTTTCCGTATACTTTCCAGTGCTAGTTTCAGAGTTTCGCATCTCAGAGTAAGGTCTTTAATCCATTTTGAGTTGATTTTTTTTAATGCAGGATGAAAGATCCATTTTTATTCTTTTGCATGTGACTATCCAGTTTCCCCAGCATCATTTGTTCAAGAGACTTTTTTCTCGAGTGCATGCCTTTGACAACTTTATAGACGATCAAGTGGCTTTGGCCGCATGGGTTTGTTTTTGTTTCTTGATCCTCTATTCTATTCCATTGGTCTGTGTGTTTGATTTCATCTCAGCACTGTGCTGGTCTGTTTTTTTTTTTTTTTTTTTTTTTTTTTTTTTGTTATTCTGGCTCTATAGTATAGTTTGTAATCAAGTCTGAGGATATCCCTACCATTATTAATTTTTTTAGGATGGCTTTGGCTTGTGTGTGTTTCTATATGAACTTTAGGATTGTTTATCCTATGGCTGTGAAGAAAGAATGGCATTAGAACCTTGATGAGGATCATGTTGAGTATGTAGATGTCTTTCGATAATATAGACATTTTTAATGTTTTGTCGCCCCCCCCTTGCCCCCGAAACAGCTAGGTCTGGAACTCACTCTGTAGACCAGGCTGGCCTCGAACTCACAGAGATCTGCCTGCCTCTGCCTCCCGAGTGCTGGGATTAAAGGCGTGCATCACCACTGCCTGGCCATTTTCAGTGTTTTACAGCTTTCATTAGAGAATTCTTTCATCTCCTTGGTAGGGTTCATTTCTAGGTATCTTGTTTCTTTGGGGCTGCGGTGAGTGGGGTTCTTTTTCTATTTTTTTCTCAGTGCATTCAATATAGATCATTATTTATTTTTGCAGTACTAGAAAACAAGTCCGGGTCTCTGTGCTCACCATCTAATCATCCTACCACTGAGCTCCACTGCATGCCTGACAGTCCTACAGTCCTGCTTTAAACTCTAGCATCTGCCCATTAGAGCTGTCACCTGAAACTCACCTGCCCCTAGGATCACAAAGAGAGCCAGCCCTACCTCGTAATCAGTATTTACTCAGAAGACTTTTGGGCTGTTTTCTGATTTATATGCCTTATTCTAGAACTTTATTTTTCCTTTTCTCCATTTCCTTTTTCTTTTCTTCTTCTTCTTCTTCTTTTTTTTTTTTTTTTTTTTTGATTTCTTTTTGAGAAGGGGCCTCATGTAGCCCAGGCTGCTCTCCATTTGCTGTTAGTTAAGAATAGCCTTGAACTTCTGATGGTCTGTGCCTCCATCTCCTGAGTGTTAGGATTACAGGTAGGCATCACTATATCTGGTTAGTGCAATTCTACTTTGCTTCCTGTGGCTGTTATCAAACACCCACCAAAAGCAACTTGGGGAAGAAATGGTTTATGTGGTTTATAGGTTACAGCCCAACACAGAGGGAAGCCAAGGCAGGAGTTTACGGTAGAAACCTGGAGGTCGGAACCAGAACAGGAGCCACAAAGGAACACTTCTTGTTTGCTCAGCCAGTGTTCTCTTTGTTTGCTTGTTGTTTCAAGGCAGGGTTTCTCTGTGTAGTGTTGGAGTCTGTCGGGGAACTTGCTCTGTATTCCAGGCTGGCCTCGAACTCGTAGAGATCGCCTGCCTGTGCCTCTTGAGTGCTGAGCTTAAAGGCGTGCGCCGCACAGTCTGGCCAGCTTGTATTCTTATATAACCCAGGACTACCTGCCCAGGAGTGGCACTGCCCACAGTGGACTGCCAAAATAAGCCATCACTGCTTCATTCCTTGTCAGGTGAGCTTTCTACCAACAGAGCTACACACTCAGCCCATGACTCAGAGAATTCTAAGGGTGCCTCATTGTTGGCAGGAAGCACGATTCCTCACTCCTTCCTGTAGCAGGGTAAGGTCATTGCGGAAGTGGTAGGTGACCCTGTGCCACCCAGTCCACTTCGCAAGGCTTTTCCCAGGAAGAATGCCTATCATGGAGAGTGAGATGCAGGACCCAAAGAACACTGTGGCATGGCCATGCCCCTGCTACCGTCCCCCAGACTGAAGCTCAGGCGCCTCCCTGCCCCCATATTAGGCCACTCACTGTTCAATGGTTGTTCTTTGGTCCTGCCTCATCCCTCCTCAGATCTCAGGGAGGACTTCCTGGTACCCCCCGGCCACTCACTCTGGCTTTCTGGGATCTCTTCTCCAGAACTGTCTCCTCCCATATGTTGCAACTACCGGGGTGTCCTCTGAGATGGTCCCAGGGAAGACTTAGAGAACTGGCTGTGCTAGACCTGAGTTCTAGACAGACTGCTATGTCTGCGCAGTGAGTCCTGCCCCAGACCTGGGGACCCGCTTCCTACTGGCAACACCGACTTCCCTTATTTGAAGCTTTCTGAGCACTTACTGTGTGCTGACAGTGTAGGATATGACCACTACACTCACCCATGAGTGAGCAGACAGCATGTCCTCTGCATGGGCAGATGTGTCTTCAGGTGTCTGGCCTTGGGGGCTCTTGTCAGCTGGGTGCTCTTAGGCACTGAGGTCGTGAGGGCTGAGGAGGCTTAGGTGAAAACTACAGAGCGGAGTCACTGTAGTCCTTCTTGTGTCTTGAGCAGTGATAAAGGTGAGGGACTGCCTGGGAGCAGCCTCTGAATCCTCATCTCCAAGGGGAGGGCACCTCAAATACAGTTCTCATCGAGCATTTAAAGCAGAAGCTGTATCTAGGGCCCCAGGTAGATGCTTTCTGCAGGGTGTCCCCATGACCTTGACTTGTGAGCCCTAGGACACCCAGCAATGTAGTGGGAAGTACTTAGGATCAGGAAGACAGACTCAGAGATGTCCAGGGACCTGAATTAGGGCACAAAGAGAGCCCCTGGCTTCTAAATTCTATAAAAGGGACCCCTTGATTCGATATGGTGGAATTCCAGGGCCTGTTAGTGGCACCAGTCTGAGAGTCCTCACAAAGAGATCAGTGCCTTTATTCAGTAGTTTCATCGCTGTGAACTCTGAAGACCAAGGGCTGGCATAGGGAATGAGTTCTTCATCATAGGAGGTATATAAACATGACTGTGCAAAAGCACCCCCAGGAGTTAGACAACACATGGTGCCCAGTCAGACCCAGGCTCCCACTGACCAGTCTCGGCCTGGATTGTACCCCAGGTTTGTGGGTAGGGTCCTAATTCTTCACATACATCTATGAGGGTGTGGGGGGCAGCAGCTGTAGAGATGGCTGAGGTTTCTCTGTGTAGCCCAGGCTGGCCTCAAACTTGCAGTGATCTTCCTGGCTCTGCCTTCTGAGTGCTAGGGTTATAGGCATGCACCACCATGCCTCTACTGTGTGTTGTAAGTGGCTGGTTGCTTTCATCGCTAGTGACCCAGCAGGTATATATGCCACAGGCTTTTGCTGTGTTCTGCTGGAAGCAGGAGACAGGCAGACTGGTGAGCGTTGACCCCAGCGTGAGCCGAGCTCCTTCTACCGTGATTTCTCTTACATAGTCCTTCCATATACCTTCTCTGCACAGGCCAGGACTCAAAGGGACTTTCCTGGAGGGGTTGGGCAGTCCATTCTGTAGGCTCAGGTTAGGAGAGGCAATGCTGGGATCTTTAGCCTCCTTAGGGAAGATGTAAAGGTCCTCACCCATCCTCTCTGCTCCAGCCTGACACCTGCGGGGAAAATAGGGCCCCTCAGGGTCCACAGTCCTGCGGACGATTTCCAAAGATCTCCAGGGCCCCGGCGTCTGTCTGGGGCCGGAGCCGCAGGTGGAAGCCTTGGGGAGCATCTCGCAGGTGTCGGGGCTCAGGCGCAGCCAGGTGGGCGTGTCTGGCCCCGCCCCGCGCGCAGGCCTTGGGAGGGTGGGACGAACGGAAGCCCCGCCCTCCCCGCGCTCTTGGTCGGAGCCGGTGCGGGAGCGGAGGCGCGCGGAGCCGGCAGGAGCACGCGGGAGCGCGGCCCCGCAGCGGCCCGGCCCGAGGGAGCAGCACGCAGGAGCAGAGCGGTCTGGCGACCCCCGCCCTAGCAAGGACCCCGCCCCAGCGCAAAGAGGCCTCGAGAGCGGACTCCGGCCCCGGAGCGCGGCCTCGCCCGCCTCGCTCGCCGGATCCCTGGGCTGCGGGCATGGACAGCGCCCGCTCGCCCTGTGAGTATCGAGCCCTCCCGCCCGCCGCCTTTGTGTGCGCGCCGCGCCACCGCAGCCCCCTCCCCGCGCGCCCCGGGCCCGCGTCCTTTGTGGAACCGGCTCTTATCCGGTGCTTCCCCCTGCCCGGGGCCTCCTTATCCCCTCCTCAGCCGCCCGTGGAACAGCCCAGCTGGGTCGCTCCCGGGCTGGCCTTGACCCCTTTCTCTGGTCTCTGTAGCCCTTCCGTAGCTCCTGTGGGCCCTCTGGGACACCTAGCAGGTCGTCCCTCCTGGAGTCCCCGGGATAGCCCGAATCAGGCCGTGTTCGTGGCTTGGGGCTGAGAAGAGCAGGGCATCCCCTTGCCATCCGCGTCTCGGGGTCCCGTCTGCAGTCCGGCTCCCCGGAGCCCGGAGCCTGCGGGGGACCGCCCGGCAGGCCACTTCTGCGGCGGGGCTGGGCAGGGCGCGGGCCCAGGGGCGGCGCTGTCTCATCCCGCGGCCCAGGCAGGTGCGGCGGGGCTGGCGCTCACGCGGGGCCCGTGTGTCCTTGGCCCGCAGAGATGGACGGCGATGGCGGCCGCCGAGACGCCCCCGGCGCGCTGATGGAGGCCGGGCGCGGCACGGGGTCGGCGGGCATGGCGGAGCCGCGGGCGAGGGCGGCGCGGCTCGGGCCCCAGCGCTTCCTGCGGCGCAGCGTGGTGGAGTCGGACCAGGAGGAGCCGCCGGGCCTGGAGGCGGCCGAGACGCCGAGCGCGCAGCCCCCACAGCCCCTGCAGCGCCGGGTGCTTTTACTCTGCAAGACGCGCCGCCTCATCGCGGAGCGCGCCCGGGGCCGCCCCGCCGCGCCCGCGCCTGCCGCGCCCGCAGCGCCATCTGGCTCTTCGGGTGCCCCCTCGGACCCTGGTCCGGAGCGAGCGGCCGCGCAGGAGCCAAGCCCGGATCCCACCACCGCCTCAGCCACAGCCGAGCCGGCCCCCGACGGCGGCGCGCGGCAGGAGGAGGCGCCAGCCCCAACCCAGGAGGACGCTGGAGCTACCGAGGCGAAGCCCGAGCCCGGGCGCGCACGCAAGGATGAGCCCGAGGTGGAGGAGGACGACGAGGACGACCTCAAGGCCGTGGCCACCTCCCTGGATGGCCGCTTCCTCAAGTTCGACATCGAGCTGGGCCGAGGCTCCTTCAAGACGGTCTACAAGGGACTGGACACGGAGACGTGGGTGGAGGTGGCATGGTGTGAACTGCAGGTGAGTGTCGGTACCCACAGGTGGGCTGTCCGCAAATGCGTCCTTGGGTGTGTCCTTGCTCTTGCACAGGGCTTTAGCAGCCCTGGGGATGGTGGTGACTGGTATTGTCACCCTCTGTGTGGGTGTCCGGCGAGACATGTGTCATGTGTATGGGAACCCTGTTGGTGCTGGTTTCTGGACCTGTCACAGGTTGAGGCTTGTCATCTTGGAGGTCAAAGCTGGCTATGTGCTGTGCCAAGTTGTGCCCACGGTGACAAAGACACTGTAGTGGGCAGTGGAGCTAGGTCCTGTTAGCCCCCCCCCCTTGGAGGTCCTCAGAACCCACTTTTATTGACTCAGTAGAGACTGGAGGTCGTGAGAGAGAAGGCAGCATCTGGGCCCTTTTCTAGGTGGCTTGGAAGCTCCCAGCTGTCCTCAGATTAGCATCTTCCTTTGCCCTGTAAGATGTAGGTGTGATAGCTGCAGATGCCTGCAAGGGCTTCCTCTGACTCAGGAGTGATGCTTGGTGGCTTGGGGCCCTGCTGGCCAAGGCCTAGAAGCCCCGTCAGCAGCTTCCTTGTGCTCTAAGAGCCTGGTTTGTTCGCAAATGAGATGTGTGAGTGAAAACCATGAAAAATGCCTGCCTTCTCTCTTTTTCTCTCCCCCTTCCTCTCCCCTTCCCTCTCTCCCCTACCCCCCGTTATTCCTTCCATCTCTATTTCTATCTCTGCCTCTTTTCCCCTTTCTTTTTGGAAGCAGAGGCTCAGCATGCATTTTTCATAACCTTGCCCTCACGTTAGCTGTATCAGGCCTGGCCCTGAAGATTATATAAACCGCAACCCTAGCCGTCCTGGGGCCAGCCTTGGAAGAGGAGGCAGCTCCTGTCACAAGGGGTGTTTACAGTCCCTCCCTTACTGGGAGGGAGGGGCAGCTGTCAGGCAGGGGCCAGCTGGGAGAGTGCTGGCTGGCGGTGTAAGCTTACCCTGCTGGCCTGTAAAGTTAGCTGGCCTTCCAGGGCTGGTGCATCCTGGGCAAGCCTGGGTGAGCTGGGTGCCAGGCTGCCATCCACTGCAGGATGCCTGCACTTTGGGCCCAGAAATGGGGTTTAGGTGCCGTGTTCTTGCGCCTGCAGGGTGCTCAGCATGCGTGTACGAGCTGGGCTCATTTCGAAGGTGTTTGAACTATCAGTCATTGAAAGCCCTTGTCTCCTCACTGCCCTTCGATTCTGTCATGACAATACGGCGTTTCATGAGAGAGTCAGTGGTGTCTTTGGGGACTTTCAGCAAGAGTTGAGGTTCTTTCTCTCTCAGGGTTCCTATGAGAATCACCCCTGTCCTTTGCCTGGCATGTCCTAGACCTTGCAGAGAGGCAGCCTTGATGGTGCAGAATGGGTGTGGGTGGTGGGGAGCATGGCCTATGGCTCAGGATCTGGGAGTGTGCCCAGTGCCCCTGCCACCCGAAGAGGCACAGAGGAGAGGATTCAGAAGGGGAGATGATTCTCTGTTCTGGAGAACGGCATGCTTCTTGGCTCCCCATTTTCCTGCTCTTGCCAGATGACCGGTGTGGCTCTCTGAGCACCTGCTGGTGCCACTACTATGGAATGTCACTAAGGGTAGAGGTCAGAGAAGGTGCTATGGCGGGCTGGATAGGAGATAGACTTCCATAGTCCAAGCCTGCCTATCTGACCGGGGCATTGCAGAGGGGGGGGCTCTTGTTAATTCCCCTTCCCTTTAAGGCAAGACATGTCAGTCTTGACCTTGTTGTGGGCGTGGCAGCAGAAGGTGGGACCTGACTGGTAGCCTAGGGTCTTTGGATAGTTGGCTCTAGGTAAAAATGGGGTAGCTTTTGGACTTTAGTGCTGTCCCTTGCTTGGGGAGACTGGAACCCCCCAGTAGGGAGGGAAACCGTCCTCACACCTGTTTCAGTGAGTGACGCTGTTCATGTTCAGCTCAGGCTGCCATGCATGATACGGGGTCACCTTCCTCTATCTGACCCACCCTGGGAAGGCTCACATGACAGGGACCTTGACCAACTTAGAGCCCTCTAGATGAGAGTCTCCACATCTTAAATCATATCGATGATGGGATCATTGAATGACTGCTTGATATCAACCAGGAGGTGGCTGGATGTCGCAGGATTTGGGAGGATGGCAGAAGCCTGACTGAGCCATGGGAGAAGCCCACCCAGTTGCCCTTGTGTGGCGTCCTGGGCTGAGGAGATAGTGGGGCAGCAGGATTCTACAGATACCCAGATCAGGCTAGGAGAGGGGAACCAGAGTCCTGGTCCTGGGTGGGGGTGTGATCCCCATCCATCATATGCACGCCAGCCGGGTATGGGCTATAGGTTTCCTGGTGTTGGATCCAGGAGAGAGCCTTGTTTATCCACCATGTACTGGGTTCTTCCCGAACCTCTGAAGTCTCCAGTGTTTCCAGCTGTTGGGGAGGGTTCCTGGACTTTGGATGGCATGGTGAAGGGAGGGTCTGCCAGGACGTTGTTTTCCTCCAGGGGAGGTTAGCCTCCACTGCCTTCTCTGGACACCCAAAGGGCTTCGGGCTGTTTACTCAGGTGCCTGCTGAGTGACTGCTTCCTTTCCTCACCCCCAGTGGTGGGCCTAGCGAGGCCTCCACAGTGGTAAACTGCTGGAAGTCTCTTTCCAGGGTTCCCTGCCAAGGGGCGGAATCAACACAGTCACAGGCCTTGTGAGTAGCTTAGAGGACACTGGGTTCCCTTTAGTGACTCCGTGTTGAAAGGGTTTGACAGGGAGAGCGGTATGTGCTTGTTCCACATCAAGGGCAGGAAGATGGCCCACCTTCTCAACTGCAGACGTGCCGAGCTGGAGCCTGGATTTTTTTTTTTTTAAGCTGGGGGTGGGGAGGCATTTAAAAATATTTTTACCGCGTTGTCTATTGTTTGAATGCACTTTACTCCTGCTAGGAGAGCGCCTTACAGTGGCAACGGAGGAAGCAAAATCATGCCCAGAATCCTCCTTCCTCATCCTTTTCCCCTGCTTCTGGGAACTCAATGCCCCCTGCTGTGTGCCCCAGTCAGCCACAGAAGTCCTGCTGCGTGCTGCTATTGCAGGGTGGGAACTGTCTCTAAGAGGGGTCTGAGCCAGGTGTAGGTCCTTTTGTGAGGTGGAGGTGCGCATCCCTTGGTCCTGGTAAGCCCAGCTTGCCCCTAGCAGAATGGTGTGAGGCCTAAGGAGGAAGTGTGGGGGCGGGAAGCTTTGTCTTCTCAGCCCTGCCTAAGCCTTGCTTGCTAAGCAGGGAGAAGAGAGCCTCAGGGTGCTCCAGCCCCTAAGTGGGTCCTGCTGTGTGTTGTGGGCACCTAGAAGAGCTGTGTGCTCCCACCTCATGCTCTGGCCAGATGTACAGCGTCTTCAGCTGCCAGCGCTGGGAGCAGGTGGTCACCAAGGGCTCATCCTGTGTGGCTTGTGCCTTGGAAGACAACTCAAGGCACCCCTGAGACTTTTCAAAGGGTCCTCTCTGCCTTCACGGCGCATCTAGGTGAGATGGAAGTCCCAGGCCCAGGGCTGGGAGGTCATGCTGTGCTGTGATAACCTTGTGCAAAAAGAGGCCTGGCTGCTAACTTACCTGCTCTCGTCCCTGGCCCCATGGTGTGGGAACAGGAGGCAGTGAGCCACCGTCCCAGCAGGCAGCGGTGCTTGTAGGGAGAGGACACTCCAAGACAGCCTGGCCTGATTTGGCTGGCGGTCACCTGGCCTTCTTCCTCTCTCTCTGTTTTTTTTTTTTTTTTTTAATCCCCTGAGTGCCTAATTTTATTCAAAGAGCTATAATTGACAACTGGTCTGTGTTAGCGCTGAGCTTCACCTCCTTCATGCATGCTGACCGCAGCCTTGGTTTGGTTGGTGGGAAAGGTTGGCTCTGGCTGCCTGAATGGCCTGTGGGTATGGCTTTCCCATCAAGTGTAGAAATGTGGGCACCTGTACTTGGGCCCCTCCCCCGATCCTCACTCCTGAGTGCTGGTGCGAGGTGTGTGCGGCGAGCCACGTGGTCGGTCGGCTACGGTGAACAGCAGTCCAGGCTGCGGCCATCGTTCCTGGAGTGTGAGGAGGCCAGGCACCCGTAGAGGCAGGTGCTTCGACAGATGGATGCAAACCTGATGGGTGTTCTCAGAGGCTCAGGCCTTTGCGGGTGCCCGGCTGAGTCTGATTTAAGGCCAGATCTCCGTGTGACTCAGGCAATGATGGATCTTTCTCTTCTCAGTCCCCATTGAGGACCCATCTCATCCATAAGGGTAAAAGGGCACGTGCTGTTTGTCTGACCTGCTGTCCTTGAGCTGGTGTTGCTACAGCTCTGGTTTCCCAGATGCCTGTGAGGCAGCTAGATCCACTTCCCGTGGCGCTGGCCTGGGACACTCTGTGCAGATAGTCGCATCTCTCTCTGCTCTGTCTGCGTGTGCCCTCTAGGACATTGCTGAGCGCTGCACCCTGGATTTTCCTCCTGTTAAACATGGACAGGGTGTGCAGTCCTAAGACTGAGGCCCAGGCAACCTAAGGTAGTTACTGAGATAGCAGATAGGCCAGGTGGGGATTTGGGGAGGGGCCACTGAGGCCTGGAGGAGTTCAAGGTGATGTGTGATTGGCTGGGCCCTGAACTGGGAACAGCCACAGAGCCTGGGTGTGGGTGTGCTGGCGGTGAGGATTGGGCTGGTGACTGCAGGGTCCAGAGACGTCTGAGGCAAGGATGGCTCCTGTGTACTTGACCATGTGAGGACTCCAGGCCTGGGACCACCCCAGCGAATGGATCAGGTCATGAGCCGGGAGACACAGAGAAATGTCTGCAGATCTGAGAATGCTGTGGTGGGGACTTCGAAGACTTGTGGGAGGGAGGAGTGAATTGTTTGGACTGGACATCTGAGTAAAGGCCCAGAATGGGAGTCCTTGCATAGATGGCAAGGCAGTTAGATGGGCCCCAAGGGTAGCCTGGAGGCGTGGCCAGGACTTTTGTCGGGGTGTTCTGAGCAGAGGAGAGGGCAAGAGTACATGGCAGGGAGCCAGC